CGAGCGGGGGCCGGACGCGCAGTCCCGGGGGCCCCGCGCAACTTACAAAGTGTCAGCCTGCCCTCCCCTCCGCCTCCCCTACCTGGGTCCTTGGAGCCCCCGGTTCCCTAAAAAGGGAAAGGGGTGGGGGAAGGGCTCCCGCGGGAGGTGGCGGGGCGCGGGGGCGCTCGCAGCCTCCCACCGCACTTCCAGGAATTGCCCCGCAGCCCCTCCCCCTGCTGTGCGGCCTGGGTGCTCGGCTCCCTCGCACCTCTTCGCTGCCGCTCCCGCCCCATCAGAGCGAAAATCGGGGGTAGGGTCAGGTGGGGGCCGAGGAGGCTGCGCTCCCAGGCCTCCGGCCGCAGGCCCGCGTGGACACGCAGCCCGGGCGGCCAGTCCTTGTGCTCCCAGCTCGGAGCCAGCAGCGGAGTGACAAAAAAGATAAAGTTGGTGAATGATAAAGACCGTATTTTCCACGCTTTGGGTGCGGGACCAGATGATCTAGAAAATGAGCTGAAATGGATTCAGCCTCTGAGCCTGTTGTGAGAGCAGCTGATTCCCCCATTTCGGGCCAGATGGCTGCTGAACACAGATTTGCATTCATTTTTGCTTAATATCGTCCAAAACAGTGGGGCAGCTGCATTTGTTGTCAAAAAGGTTTAAAACCCCTTTTCTTTCTGGGGCAGGATCGTTACCTTATGTGATGGGCTTATACAACTTTTTCTCCCTCTTTAGTCAACAGTATCAGATTTAGAAGGATTTGTTTCTAAACCTTCTAATTTGGTAATCAGATTTAAATCGCCCTGGCGCGTGTAATCTGAATTAAAGATACTGTAAATGATTTTAAGCACGATACTGTTGGTGAGCGCAAGGAAGGGGGCACGTCCAGCGCGGGCTGGGCGTTTTTAGGAAGTGTGCCACAAAGAAAGCATTGTATTTCTATTTCTAACTTCATCTTTCCCCCCCAAAAGGCATTTTGCATATTCTGACAATAACGCCGGCCTGGCCGCTCGCCTCGCGCCTGGCGGGAGCCCCCGAGCAGCTAAGCGCCCAGAGACAAAGCGACTTCCCAGCCCCACCCTCCACCCGCGGCCAACTTTATTTTGCGTGGTCTCTCCAGGAAGAAAGTGTTGCCTCCTACGCTCAGCCTGCTGTGTGGGAGGAAAGCTCCGGGCTGATTAGGAATACAGAAATTTTCTTTTAATTTATCGTGAATAGTTTCCATACACTTTGATTTAAGGTTATTAACATTCTATAGACAGTGGCATCTTTAATATGTGGCGATCGCTTCTAAAGACTAATCTCATTACCCTCAAATAGTCATAAAATATGATTTTATTATACTTACGTATTTAATTAGACGGCCAGCACCGTAATGGATTTTGAGATGGGACCCGAGCAACAGCTTTGATAATTCACTTATCTTTGGCAATAGTCATTAACCCCCAACACCAGCAAAATAGATTGCTTTCAGCACATCTTTTCCCCTCACCCCTTCCAAGAGGCGTGGGGGTCCCCAGATAATGTAAATCGGACTTCGATTTTCCCGATTAATTAAAATATTAACGTACACACACTGCCAATTCATAAAAAAGGCAGCGCTGCCCCACACCCGGGGGAAGAAGCTGCCCCGCTACACACTCGCACCCTGTAACCTGTTTTGGTTTTGTTTGTTTTAATCAAAAGGGCCTGATTTCTCCTGGCAGGGAAGTGACAGGACAGCTCTCGGTGGTCCCCTGGGTCTCCAATCTGTGTCGCGCAGACCTCCTTTGGGCGGGCGCTGCGCTTGGGCTCGAGTCCCTGCCGCG